CAAGGAATTCGCTTTCAATTTTGAGGGCAAATGGACTAAGCACTTGTTTTCCCTTCTTTTCAATCATTTCCCTATTTCGTCGGCTTTTGGCTGTGTTATTCTCCTGAGTGGAGAGCAGAGCAATCGTAAAGTTATTAAGTTGTTGAAGAAATTGTAATTTGGCTACAGGTTGTAAATGGGGTAGTCCATGCTTAGAAGATTGGGTGACGTTGAGAAGGGCTTGCAGAGAAGAAAATGGTGAAAACGTTGGGAACGCCTTCCCTACTCTAAGTTTAAAGATGTTCTCCATTACTTAGAAGGCTGTCATAGTGGTAGTGATTAGTCTGCACCCTTTCTGTCGACAATTTGTTTGTTTTGCTTACTAGTAATCCCGACTCACCACTCATTGCTTGATGACGGGATTTTGGTCTGTTTTTTCTCAAAGAATTCGAACTCTCTTGTTTGCTTTGTAGAGCAACGCTTCACCGTAGGGTTTTGACAGTCTACATTTTCCTCACCTATCCGAGCTTTACTTTGTATTGATCAGGTAACACGATTGGAAAAGTTGATAAAATTATTTGCTCTAAATTATTTGATGTGCCATTTTTTGTACATTCATTTCGGCACAATCCTATTGAGGGTTCACCTTAAACTCTCTGATGGGTGCTAAGCGCAGTTGTTGGCGCGGATCTCATGTGCATGCGGTTTTGGGGCTATACAATGGAGGGAAAACTTTGGCGGCCGTAATGACTTCAGGTGTGGGGTTCCATGTAGGAATCTTTGATGATGTAATTTCAAGTTCCGACAAAACAATCCAGAATTGTCATCTGCTTTCTAATTATAATGCACATCTTGAATGGCTGTAGGGCTAGTGCTTTGGTACGACATTAAAGTCAAGTGATAATGTGGAAAGCATGGTGTACATTAGAGCGTTTTGCTCGAGTTTATTGTACGAAATAAGTGTTACAGGTGACTTCTGGAGCTAGGCAGTCGGAACTGAGGCGTTTTGCTTACATATAAGCTCTAATTTGTAGATGACTCCAGCTAGTGAACTCTTTGAGCTTGTTCAGTCCGGCCTACACATTGAGTATCCATCGGTATTCGTGGAATGCGCCCTTCACCACCTCTGTTCTACCTGTATTCCCGCATTCCGAGAACTCAAAACGGACTATCCGACCGCATCCGACGTGGATCCTTTCGAACATGCTGTTTGCATGCTCTCTGATCATTTGCCCGCTTTTATCCGTCTTTTTCAGTGGTTCCAACTCGTTCAAGTGAACACTCAGTCACTCTACCGTCTAATCGCTCAAAACCTCCCCTCCTCCCCCCAACGTTCATGCTTTGAAGTTGCCGTGGTGGGTGACCTCTTCACTCCTGACGTCTACCACACTCTCAAGCCCTACCTTTATGCATATCTTCTGCTAGAACTCAATGCTGCTGAGCAGGAGACCTCAGAACACAACTGTTTTGAGGACTCGTTGACTACTGCCCGTCTCCTCGTTCGACTCTCGACAAGTGTAACAGATCTAATAGAACAGTGTCGCGGTGTCTTCGCTGCAGAAGAATTTTCGCTTCTTTTCCTCCTAGAGGATCTTGTCGTTCCGTTTGCTGAATCGGTTTTTCTGCACAAAACGAGGGAGTTAATGGAAGGACACTACACCGTGTCCTTTTTGGAGCCGCTCCATGACTACGTGGAGCATGTGATGTTCAAAGCCTGGTTACCGCGTGTTTTTCGCATAACCTCTTCTTGTGCGAGTTGTCCATGGAGTAGTCAGTTGGTGTATACCACATTTTACAGCGTACGGCGTTCAGAGCTTTTCAGCATTATGATGGACTATCCCGACTCACATCCCACCGTGATGGATCTCAAGGCGTATCTCATGGAAACCCGAGCGCTGCAGGATCTCATTGATACTCTGAGTAAAGAGGTGTGTTTGTTGGCTATTTCGCTAAAACCGTGTTACTTGTCACTTCCATTTGGCCGAACAAAATCACCAAAAGGTAAGAAGCGTTTCAGAATGACCAGGAATTCGTTTGAAGTTTTAATCAGTGGGATCACCTTTTGTAGCTCTTAAATTTTCAGCCGCAGCTCCTTTTTCTCACCTTTATTTACTCCTCTCACCCTAACGCCTGTGTATTTGTTGTTTTATCAGGAGCTGCCAAGCTTGGAACTATAGTTATTTGGCTCTATAGCAATTTGCAAATTGTTATCCATCATCTAGAGGAAAATAAATGTCGTTGAAGCCTGTAGGTTTGTAGTAGAGACGATGATACAGTGTGACTTCAACAATCTCATTTTTCTGTTTAATTACAAATGAAGTCAAGTGGGCTAATTTTGTTTCTGCGTTTTGTGCCCAGGTTGGCTCGCGTCTACTGCAGCCAGGCGTGCACACTGATGAGGTGTTACTAGCGTATGGATGTTTGGTGCGAGGGCTGCGTGAGATTGATCCCTCTTCAGTGGCGCAAGACATAGTCTGTCGTCCTGTAGCCTCGTGTCTTCGCGAACGAGACGATGCGGTGCGCTGCATTGTTGATCGTCTTATCGCCCCACCCCAACTCTCCACCATTCCTGACGCCACCACTGACACTGATACCAACGTTGCAGATGTAGTCGCAGCAGACCAAATTACGGGTCTCCAACGCGAACTTTTGTTGCCAACACCGCTGGAGGTAGAACCCACGGATGAGATGAGGGACTGTGACGCACATCTTGTTGCACATGGTAAGTCTAGGATCAGTTAGTCTCAGTAGTTCGTATTAAACCAGGGTTATATTACCTGTAGCACCGCGATAGATGTGGAATCTGGGAGTCACTGAATTATTTTCCCCATCGACCGGGATTTGATAGTCACCCGTACATTCGGTTTTGTCTCAAAATTCAATTTGTTTTACTACTTAATCCCTCCTGTCCAACTGCAATGTTGCAAGCCTAACAAGGTAAAACTTTGTTATTAGGCATTCACTGGTGTGGCTGTCTCTGGTTTTCCCTTCAATAATCACATCTCTACATGATCACTATACAGGAAATGGAGGTCTGATTACTCACGCTTTGAAATATGGTACAAAGAATTTCGTAGAGTTCAAAGGAAATGCTGTGCTAGCCCCTTTAGCCGATTAAACTGAGTGGACGATATCTTTCCGAGAACATTTTATTACGAGTTATGTAGGGTCGAGACCACCACTTTGTACTCAAGAAATGACATTGTTAGCATTTTAGCACAGCCTACCATTATATCCTCAATTCATCTTTTTCTAGTCAAAAGGTCTTAACACCTACACTTGGATAGGCAATTTGTGAATACCATCCGTTTGTTGACTCCAACTCCTCGAATCCATCTTGTTTCGTTCCAGCATAGACTGTTCTTCAATCAAATTG